CGGTGTCCGGTATTTCTAAACGCTCGTGCGTTAAAATTGCCCATGTGTTTTCTCGTCGTTCCTGGGTAAATACTAAGTGTCAATCACCTGTGGCACATACCTGCATACCAGTGGCACATACCCGCCCGTGCGTATGTTGCACTGTCTAGCGGGAAGTGTTTGACGACGTACGCGACGGAATATTGACATTATTTATGTCTTGACTAGCGCGTCATATTCGTTAAATCATGTTTAGATGGATGGATGGATGGATGGATGGATGGATGGATGGATGGATGGATGGATGGACGGTTGGATGAACGGACGGACGAACGGACGGACGGACGGACGGATGGATGGACGGACGGACGGACGGGCGGGAGGCCGGCGGGCGGGCGGGCGGGTGGGCGGGCGGATGGCTGGACGGAAGGATGGACGGATGGACGGGCGGACGGACGGGTGGATATGCTCAGTCACGGAAGTTCGCTAAGAAATGGTTCGCATTTCAAATAGACTCGGGAGGCCGAGTTCCGGCAGCAATTGCTTATCGATGATCCATCAGCCTTCCTAATCACGCTGAATCGCGAACGGCACCGCAAGCACCGGTGCAAGGTGGATCCCGCAAAGAGCACCGCCAAGTTAGCTCACGATGTCAAACGCTTACAACAGCGCGGCGTTGCGGCGTGAACGTGATGATGACGTGAGCGCGTTGGCTGGGGCGAACGCCCACTTCGGTGGTAGTTTTAAATGCGAAGCAATTCTTAGCGAACTTCGGCGTCTTTGAGCGTATCTATCTATCTATCTATCTATCTATCTATCTATCTATCTATCTATCTATCTATCTATCTATCTATCTATCTATCTATCTATCTATCTATCTATCTAGCCACCAACGACTTTTAGCTCTCCTAGCCGTTTCGATTACGGTATCGATACCAAACATGGTATGGAATAACATCACTGTATGAAGAACACATTTGACTAGTCATAAGATGAAAATCATGATATTTAGGTCATAAATACTAGGATTTACATCTCATGGTCCTGCCGCTCTTGCGGTGGTTTCGTTCACCCGGCATGTTGCAAAACTGGTATAGTATGATATAATTGCATGGCGAACAGAGGCGACAGACCCTAACATGAAAATCACGACACGCGTGTCATGTAACAACATGACTACGTTCCACGCTCATGATGCACTCGAGGCCATTTCGCTAGCGTCACATATACCAAATTAAGTATTACGGTACGTGAATGCATGACGAAGGAATGTGACTGGTGCAAACATGACAGTTCTAAGATGTGTCATGTAAGAACATGATTATATGTCACGCTCATGATGCACTGGTGGCCGTTTCGCTAGCTTCACTTGTACCAAATTCGGTAATACGGGACGCGAACGGATGACGAAGGCATGATACTCCTGCAAACATGATAAACATTAGATGCGTGCCATGTAACAACATGAACACATGCAACGCTCGGGATGCGCTCGCAGCCGTTTCGCTAGATTCACATGTTCCAAACTCGGTATTACGTGACGCCAATGGATGACGAAGGTATGTGACTGGTGCAAACATGATAATCATGAGATGTGTGTCGTGTAAGAACACGACTACATGCTACATTCAAGACACCATTACATTTTGACGTGACGTGGTGCGTGTGCTCGCTGGTGTTCATTTTGTCGCGTAACGCTGGCGTTACCACGCCAGGCGCCGGTCCTGCCATATACTCGCAGCGCGCGCTGCGTTGCTTTGAGGCATGCGCATTTCAGCGCGTCCGGCGTCCCTCCGTCAGAAAAAGAGGGAGACGCAGTGTTTGGGTAACGCATCGGCGCGAAATGCAGCGTGTCGCATTTCCGCTGGTGGCCGTCGGCCCACGCCGAGGGTCGCTGGTCGCGCCTGGCTTCAGGCTAAAAGTGCTCACGCTTTGCTAACGAGGCGTCGCTGTGCCCAGCGTGCCCGCGCGTCAAAGCTACATTGCAGTAGATTGGGCCCTTCATGATGCGCTCGCGGCCATTTCGCTAGCTTTACATATATAAAGTTTGGTGTTACGTGACGTCAATGAATGACGAAATATATGACTTGTGCAAACGTGATAATCCTGGCACGCGAGTCATGTAAGAACATGACAACACACCATGCTCATAGCGTGCACGCGGTCGTTTCGCTAGCTCTACATATACTAAATTTGCTATCACGTGACGTGAATAGACGACGAAGGTAAATGACACATCCAAAAATGGTAATCATGACACGGAAGTCATGTATGGCATCATTTACTTCCACCTCGTAACGGTGGGCTGATTTTAAAGGGACATCTCAACATTTCTCATTCGTGCTTCGCATATCATCGAATCCACTGTACGTGGGATCTGCCAATTTTTTTCCAGCGGCACATTGGCTTGGACGGCAATATCTATGACGGCGTGTGGTTGCAGAACAACCACTGTGATTAACGCATTGTGAAACGCATTTAACCACTTATTACACTCCTCCATGACCATTATCATTCGAGGCACAATGTGCGGCATGTGGAATAAAGACTGGTAAACCCAAGGCAAACGTGTGTCTAAACTTATTAAGAAGCACGAACGTGTAACTAATAATTGCGAAAGACTTCAGTGCCACATCGGGTTTAACCCACTGCTAAACACTGGGGCTGCATGTTTAGGTTTTTTCTGGTTAACCGTTTGTACGGAGTGCTTGAGTGATCAATTCCCTATATATATATATATATATATATATATATATATATATATATATATATATATATATATATATATATATATATATATATATATATATATATATATGATGCTATGATGAATTGGCAACGTGGCCTGGCTCATACCCCATGTTTATTCCATCTCTGACTTCTTCTTCCTCGGCTTCTACCAACCATCACTTCATACGTCACACGATTCCCCCTCCCCCCGAAAGATGGCACCGGTTACAATCTACAACAAATTGAAAACAAAATAATGGCGAAATTTGCATTTTCACGTCCCGACGGAGTTCTACAATCTTACTAACTCTTCAAGGCCGAGGGAGCAGTCCGGTGATTTTTATTACGACTCTGGTGGACGAGCTTGACTGTTGCGTTCCGGACAGGGCGGGCTACGCATGGATACTGACAATATTGCTTGAACCCCTCTGGGGACTGAGCAAGGATGGAACGCATTGTTGCATCGGCAGCTCGGATGTCGTCGGTTGAAGGCCTCACCGGAGACGTAGTCGGTAAAGTTGGCGACCATCTCCCGTTGAGACCATGATGCAGCGGTTGCGTGGTGCTCGAACAGGTCGAACCAGTCCTGTACAGGTCCATCGTCCGCTGCTCCGGTGTACTTGTGGATGGGAAGGTCGTCTGATGGTGCTGTCATAATGCTTGGTGGCCTTGGTGGTCCGCGTTCTTCTGTGGTCCGCGTTCGGTCACTGCATCTCGCTGAGGTCTTGGATGATGGTAGCCGGGCGATGAAGTGGTTGCGAGGTCTTTATCCTGTCGACTAGTGTGACGCTATGAATAATTGGCAACGTGGCCTGGCTCATACCCCATGTTTATTCCATCTCTGACTTCTTCTTCATCGGCTTCTACCAACCATCACTTCATACGTCACATATATACCACTGAAATATTTACAGTTTTACGAATGAATTCTCTGTAATTAAAGAGCAGTGATTCAGCCTAATATTATCTCTGTTTACCATGCTGCGAAAGCGACTGTACTAGTGGCGATCAAAATAAATCTGAACAGCGTGGCGCATTAGAGCTCCGCGGTTCACTGCATTTTCATCGAACTCTTACCTTGGTGTCAATAAAGGGTTGTTAAAGCGGTACTCAGTTGCATAATCGACGACTGGGGTATCTTTTTATTATGAACAAGTTTACAACCACTTGTATAAAATGTGAAAGGGTGATTGCACAAGTGCCGCACTGTACACACTAAATTTCATAGAGTAGTAGCATGCGACCTATTATCTGCAAATGACAAGTGCAATCTCCAATTGATAAGTGCAAGACTTCGAAGCAAGCAACTTCAAGTGTGTTTGGCAGATGTCAGCTAAGATATATGAAGTCCTAGACCAGTGACGCCGCCAATATTTAACGATCTTTTTGTCCGCCCACTTCATTTAACAGTTTACTCCTCACCCTTTGCTTTCGTTATTTTGTCCCGAAAGTGATATTTTGAAGACATGAAATACTTTCTTATCTTGGAACAGCAAACTTTCAATTGGCGAATACATGTCAAAAGGCGCCTGGCGAATAACAAGTGAGTTTTACGAAGAAAAAAATCTTCAAAGTTTTTCATCGGAGCCCTCATGCATCAATGGAGCATCGGTGGACCGCTGATGTACCACTTCATTGTGTAGTAATATTCGCGAACGCATCAAAAGGCCAAATTTAGCCCTAGTGGGTACCATTACCAGCAAGTATATTACTTTGTATAGGTTGCCGTAACATGAAACATGATGGGGAATTGATGACGGGACGTTTAGCTGCCTTAATGAGTTCTTTGTCGCGGCAGCGTTTCACTACCACCTTAACGAAGACAGTGAGTCAGAAACGCTCGTGCGTTTATGCACCCACCAATATCGTGGTCGAACGGGATGACAACTATCTAGGGTTTACAGAAACCAAAGCAGCGTTGTTTTTTTTCTTTTCCTTCTCAAGTAGTTGGCGAGCAAGAAGACAGAAGCTAAGACAGGTACAAAAAAAAACAGCGTCAAAGCGTGAGTGAGATGGTCGCTCAGAATGGCAAGGAAGCAGAAGCGGGAGAGGAGATGACCAGTTGTAAGTGCGAAATGATGGATCACCTGTTTCGCCCCAATGTCACGTCGGACCTCGTCCTGATGGATAGACGTTGTGTTCGGCGCACAGGGTTTTTTTTTCTTTTTTTCGTACTATATCGTATTGTTCCTCTGTACGTGCCTCAAATGCGTTCGTTTCCTTCTTTCCGTTTCCTTGCTCGTCCCTGACGACGTTTCGTTGTGTTTTCGTGATACTTGTCCCTCGTCCGTCTTGGGTCGACAATGCGGGGCTACTATGCCGCTATCTCTTCGGTGGCTGCACGGCAGGTCTCGACGCGCCAGTTGCAGTTGGTTGCCGTATATAGGAGTGTGCTGTCAGCGAATGGCAGTGCAATGACCAAGGACTTGCCTTTCTGGCGGAAGTTGGCCCATGCCCTGCTGCTATTTGCGTTGGCCCCAAGAGTAAGGCATTCAGTCCGTATTTTGAGCAGTAAGAAATCACTATCTATTGCTTTCTTTGCCTTTAAAGTAATTTTCCGTGATTTGGCATGCCCAATTTACCATATAAATATGAAAAATTGGTACTCGAAGATCGCCTATTAACCGTAACTGCCCGAGTTTTCTTAACGTGCCCGTAGAGCTAGCTGCACAGGTTCTCTCGCATTTCGACCTCCATTTAAATGCAGTCCCCATGGGTGTATGTTGAACCCGATCTTGGCAGCACACATAGCCAAGCTACTGCAGCGAGTGGGTCACTCGCTTCGTAGTGTCTCAATGCTGCATATAACTTGATTTAGAGGGCGATCGTATAAGGTACCACGAATGAACATGTAACCTGGGCATGTAGCGTAATGAGCATGTATACTGTACATTTAACGAACATGTACAGTATTCACTTTCAAGTCTCTCGTCGATTAAACATTACCGCTATAAACCAAGAGTCCTTCCTATATTAGAATGCGCACTATAACATAAAGCGAGTTTGACGTGTATGCGTGCATGAAATCGTTGTACAAGAGCAACAGAAGTGATAATCGCAAAACATTCTCTCCGTTTGTTTATATCATTCTGTGTTCAATCATTGCTTTTCACACAAGAGCTTTCTGCCCAGCACTGAACGCGCTTGCGCAGCGAGCTAACTACATTTTTTCTCCAGTTCATATTACAGAGGTTATGGCTGAATACTTAATCCATTATATATAATGCCGCATACTTTCCCGTACGAAAAAAACTGCTTATTTTACCGCAAAACCTGTTACGAGATCAAAACTCGGGTTACGCACTGTCGCAGTTGTCCGCCGTCGCCGCCGGTGTCCGTAACAACATCACGTGAAATGAAGATATATATATATATATATATATATATATATATATATATATATATATATATATATATATATATATATATATATATATATATATATATATATATATATATATATATATATATATATATATATATATCCAGTTTGGCTCGAAACTGGGTCCACTGGGTTCCAGCCCAGTATTCTACTAGTGAGCCACGCCGGGGTTTGGGACTTGACGGCAAACTTACCTCAGGCAGGCTTGATGTCAGAAAAGCAGTCACATTAATACGACTTATAAAGCGTTTCAAAACAGCAAAAAAAACAACCAGTCGTCGCACAATGGGAATTTCGTAACGAGTGGGTCGTCCAATTTTCCAACTCATTGCTAAAGCTTGTTCTTATTCACCATTAAACGGTGACGCATACTCACTTCAGGCACAATTCCTCGTTGTCATCAGCCGCTGCATGAACGATTGGCACAAAATTTCTTGCAAGTGTATAGCAGATACCAGGCTTCTCAGAAGAGTGATTTAAAATAGCATAAAAAATGCCAGCCTACTACACGAAAGTATTTATTATTAATTCTATAGTGGGTATCAACCAACTGTGTTTGCAGCAGTTACCTAGAGAGTGTTCAGAAAAGGCTCTGAAAGGCCGTTCTTCTACCTCTCGCTGTGATTGTGCGGCACCTTCCGCACAGGTCTGGCGTTTTCTTTTCCAAGCACGATGAACGCGTGCACCGCAATACTTTGCATATTGTGAATCGAATCAGAGTTGCACCAATAAATAGATTCACCGTACGCGAATGAAGAATAGTCGCGTACAGCTGTTTACGACCATTAAACGATAAGGGAGAATGAAGGACAAATATGACTGCAACCTCATCGGGCGATGCAGTTGGCGTTGGTTTGTGAATAAAAGTAATTTTGTAGCATCATGAGCTGTCATAGAACGTATTACCTAACCCAAACAGCACGTGAACATTTTCGAAGTAGTGTCACCGTAAGAATCACTCCTCTACAAACCTACCTCAGACATCCGCAAAAGCAAGGCATATTTATATAACAGCCCATCTGTACGATTTATTTAATTCATGGTAGCCTCCTTAGCATTTTACCTCGCCTCACTAAACTTCACTTTAGCGAAAGTAAGTTGCGAGACAAAATCAAATCTTCCACTAACTGAAGAAACCGTTAGAGGAGAGACGTATTCTTAGAAATGCACCAAGATAAAAAGGATTATCGCGCACCCGCACTAAGACCGAGAATGGAAAGCCCTAAAGGTCATTATGCCGTGCCGTGGTAGCACTGCCAGGTTTCTTAGACTTCAGAAGCCCCAGACTACGCGCAATCTGCAAACATTTGTCTCCTTTAATTGTTCCGCTGGTCACCGTGTGGCGGACTTCGTGAGGTATCGTTATCTTGTTTTAATTACGTAAGAATTCATACATTGCTTAATGTGAAATGACCCACCGCCATCTCCTGTAGTGCGCCCATCAGCTTTTTCTTCTCCCTCCCGCGGGGTAACGCGAGGTCCTAATGAGGCTTCTCTCCCACTTCTGGGCTCTTCACGTTCTTTGACGTAAGAATGTATAACATGGAGAGAATTGAACACGCTCTGAAAACGGAGGAAGCGTCAAAGCAGGGAAGAGGAAACTTGGGACAGGCAAAAATCGGACATATGCACTAAGGGACAAAGAAGGCAAAATAACTACCAATATGGATAGGATAGTTAAAATAGCGGAGGAGTTTTACAGAGATCTGTACAGTAGCTGGGACAACCACGACTTTAATACTATAAAAACTAGCAGTAACCCAGATGACACCCCACCAGTAATGATAAAAGAAGTCAGAAAAGCTTTGGAGAGCATGCAAAGAGGCAAAGCTGCTGGTGAGGATCAGGTAACATCAGATCTGCTAAAAGATGAAGGACAGATTGTGTTAGAAAAACTAGCCACCCTGTTTACAAGGTGTCTCCTGACGGGAAGAGTACCAAAGTCCTGCAAGAACGCTAACATCATCTTAATACATAAGAAAGGAGATGACAAGGACTTGAAAAATTACAGGCCGATTAGCTTGCTCTCTGTAATATACAAGCTATTTACAAAAGTAATTGCTAACAGAGTAAAGAAAACATTAGAATTCAATTAACCAAAGGAACAAGCAGGATTTCGAACAGGCTACTCAACAATCGACCACATTCATACTATCAATCAGGTAATAGAGAAATGCTCAGAATATAACCAACCACTATACATAGCTTTCATAGATTACGAGAAGGCGTTTGATTCAGTAGAAATATCAGCCGTCCTGCAGGCACTGCGGAATCAGGGCGTCGATGAAGTTTATATAAACATTCTGGAAGAAATCTACAGGGGATCAACTGCTACCATAGTGCTTCATAAAGGAAGCAACAGAATACCAATCAAGAAGGGTGTAAGGCAGGGGGACACCATCTCCCCAATGCTATTTACCGCGTGCTTACAGGAGGTTTTCAGAAGCCTAGAATGGGAAGTCAGGGATAAGAGGTAATGGAGAGTACCTTAGTAACCTGTGCTTCGCCGATGACATTGCATTGCTGAGTAACTCAGGGGACGAATTGCAACTCATTATTACGGAGTTAGACAAGGAGAGCAAAAAGGTAGGTCTTAAAATGAATCTGCAGAAAACGAAAGTAATGTACAACAACCTCGTTAAAGAGCAGCGCTTCGAGATAGGTAATAGCGCACTTCAAGTTGTAAAAGACTATGTCTACTTAGGGCAGGTAATAACCGCGGAGCCGAACCACGAGATTGAAGTAACTAGAAGAACAAGAATGAGGTGGAGCACATTTGGCAAGCGCTCTCAAATTATGACAGGTAGATTGCCACTATCCTTTAAGAGGAAAGTATATAACAGCTGTATCTTGCCGGCACTTAGCTACGGAGCAGAAACCTGGAGACTTACAAAGAGGGTTCAGCTTAAATTGAGGACGACGCAGCGAGCAATGGAAAGAAAAATGGTAGGTGTAACCTTAAGAGACAAGAAGAGAGCAGAGTGTATTAGGGAACAAACGGGGGTTAAGGATATCATAGCTGAAATCAAGAAGAAGAAATGGACATAGGCCGGGCATGTAGCGCGTAGACAGGATAACCGCTGGTCATTAAGGGTAACTAACTGGATTCCCAGAGAAGGGAAGCGGGTCAGGGGGAGACAGAAGGTTAGGTGGGCAGATGAGATTAAGAAGTTTGCAGGTATAAATTGGCAGCAGCAAGCACAGGACCGGGTTAACTGGCGGAACATGGGAAAGGCCTTTGTCCTGCAGTGGACGTAGTCAGGCTGATGATGCTGATGATGATGATGATGATGATGATGATGATGATGATGATGATGATGATGATGATGATGATGATGATGATATATTACCAATCACCCAGTTGGGCTCGAAACCGGGTCCACTGGGTTCCAGCCCAGTATTCTACTAGTGAGCCACGCCGGGGCTTGGGACTTGATGGCAAACTTGCCTCAGGCAGGCTTGATGTCAGAAAAGCAGTCACGTTAATACGACTTATAAAGCGTTTCAAAACAGCGAAAAAACAACCAGTCGTCGCACAATGGGAATTGCGTAACGAGTGGGTCGTCCAATTTTCCAACTCATTGCTAAAGCTTGTTCTTATTCACCTAATAACTGTGGCGCATACTCACTTCAGGCACAATTCCTCGTTGTCATCAGCCGCTGCATGAACGATTGGCACAAAATTTCTTGCAAGTGTATAGCAGATACCAGGCTTCTCAGAAGAGTGATTTAAAATAGCATAGAAAATGCCAGCCTACTACACGAAAGTATTTATTATTAATTCTATAGTGGGTATCAACCAACTGTGTTTGCAGCAGTTACCTAGAGAGTGTTCAGAAAAGGCTCTGAAAGGCCGTTCTTCTACTTCTCGCTGTGATTGTGCGGCGCCTTCTGCACAGGTCTGGCGTTTTCTTTTCCAAGCACGATGAACGCGTGCACCGCAATACTTTGCATATTGTGAATCGAATCAGAGTTGCACCAATAAATAGATTCACCGTACGCGAATGAAGAATAGTCGCATACAGGTGTTTACGACCATTATACGATAAGGGAGAATGAAGGACAAATACGAATGGAACCTCATCGGGCGATGCAGTTGGC